AGTAATTGAAAGGCTAGGAGTTATAATTAATGTAGCCTTAAACTACATCAAGCCCTCAATGGCAGATTGTTGCTCATGATTTAAATGTTTTATGTTAAAATTCCCCATGTTGTTCATACTTAGACAAAAAAGCGTTGTCTTATGCATAGGTATTTTTAACAATAAAGAAATGACCATGAAATGAGATTAAGTTATCACTTTGTAAACAAAGTCTTTTTGTGCTTATTTTAAATGAAAACATATGAGTTTTCTCCTTGAAATTTACCCTCTCTTGGTTGATTAGTAGGCAACAAGAAAGAAAGGCACATGTAAAACACAACTGATGTCTGTTGCAGTTACGTTTAAATACAAATGCTTCTTGGCATTTTTGGAAAAGGAGATACATATCTCACTGGGTGAGATAAACATGGCCCCATAGATGCCAGCTGCCTTTTAAAATCTCTTTGAGGATTAGGGATAAGATCCAGGTAGGTGCCCACCATGTGTGACTTTCAAGGGGGTACAGTCTGGGGTGAAACTGCTCAGATCCTGGCTTACAATCTTTTTCCTATGGGTTGGTTAGAATTACTGAGTGTCCTGATGGTATGGCAGGTGTACAGATACACAATGACACGTGGAAATCACTGTAATGTACATTCATATGTGACACTTGTGCCAGGAATGTGCTATTATCACTTTCCTCATTAAGAGTACAAAAGGGTGGCTGTTATATATTATATTGTATTAAACTAATTCACTGTTGTCCATAACATGAATGACACATTCTATTATTAATATCAAGGAAGGTATGATGCTTGCTGGAAAACAGCTCAAGAATGAAAGCTATAGAATTGCTAGTGCCTCCACTGAAATTAAACGGACATCTGCTTGCTCACACACACTGTATCTTCTTTGGATTGACTGGCCTCTGTGGGATGGCAGAGAGACAGACCAGAAGCACCAAGTCCAAGTACTCTAGCAGAAATGCTATAGACATATTGGGGTTGGATGTCTAAGCATAAGGGCTGGTGGAACCTGGATGCTGACCCAGCAGGTGACTCTGTAAGAGCAGACTTCGGAGCTGCAGTGCCATGTTGGAGGACCATGCAAGCTAAGCAAGCATCACACTGGGAAGGTGGAGTTCACTCAGTGCTCTTATGACCTCAGCCATGTGGTCCCGTGCAGGGTGGCTGTGCTGGGTCTCCCACTTCCCATTTCACACAAATCCACTGGCGCCACTTCAGCCTTCTTCAGAGTGGAGGAAAGAAACAGTGTGCTGGTATAGTTGTTAAAAAAATAAAAAAGATGAAATGCTGACAAAACAGGAGAAAAGCAAAATTAGAATGAGAGGTAGAACCCAGGCCTGTACCTGCGTAGTCATTCAGAGTAAGTCTGAAAACAGAATAAATTTGTATCAAAAACTTTTAACATCTCTTAATGAGGGCATGGGCCTCATTAGGCATGGGCTTCATTGGCATGGGCCAAATCTGCAGGATTCACTCTAACATTAGGGAATAAATGAAATGCCACCAGAGTCAATGCTGTGCCTCAGATTCTGCTTTGACCCAAAGAACCCTGACCTCATTTAAGTGGAGATTAAGGATGTAGAAGGTTTGCCTGAAAAGTCTTTGAAATTGGCTAAAGCTTTTCCCTCCAGGCTTGGCTTTGATATGTTATTAAGACTAAATCTACTGTGTCCGTGAGCTGTTCCCAAGGAGAGAACACGTAAGTAAAGTACATCCTTTATGCAGAGTGCAGGTGCTGCCGTTAGAGGTAGTACCCACCATGTGGTCTATTTATAGGAAATAATTTAAGGTATGAGTTATGCTTAAGAATCACTCCTGTGCACATGAGTGCACAACAGCGTGATATGCCTAGCTTTCTGCTGGCACACCACAATCCTTTTGCAGCCTTTCCCATTCTCTACCCCTGCACAACCAATCACACCCTTATGAAAAAGTCTATTTTTTTTTAGCTCAGTAGTATACCTCTGTGCTTTCCTCAAGGCTCATACAAATTATGTAACACACATACTCATACACAAAACTACGCTTCCCCTTTTTTTCCTTACAAACATCATATAGTACTCTATGTATTCCTTGGCCCTCTGGTTGAATAAATCATTCACACATTGATTAAAAGCACGAATCTTGTTTTTGTTCTCCTTTAACAATTTTGCCAAACACAGAAAAAAAAACTCATTGTTTTCATAATTATGTGCAACACAGTAAGTGTATTGACCTCCACGTCAGTGCGCATTAGTTGATTCTGTTAATGATAGTATAATATTTCACGATGTGCATGAATTACATTTTAATTATTTTATGGAATGGATTTACTAGTCATTTTCAATTCTTTCCATCACAGATGATGTTGCAGTAAGTATCTTTGAATTCATCACCTTCAAAATTCACATGTTGAAATATAAACCCTGCAAAGTGATGCAGTTAGACAGCAGAGCCTTTGGGAAAGGATTTGCTCATAAGTCTGGAGCCTTGAAAATAGGATTAGTGTCCTTAAAAATGATGGAAGTGACCGGAGTCCTTGCTTCTGCTGTGTGAGGGTAACAACAAGGTTTGTGAGCCCAAGGGCAGGCCTGTGCCAGACACTAAATCTGCCAGCAACTTGATCTCAGATTTGCAATCTTCAAACCATGGGAGATAAATTTCTGTGGTTATGAACAACACAGTTTATGGTGATTTGTTATAGGAACCTGAGTGGACTAACACAATGTATTTTTATACGTACTTTTATTTCTACAATATAAATGCTGAAAGAAGTATTGCAACATAAACACATTGGAGAAGATCAACTTTAAAGCTACTCTCTATTGCTTTGTAGAACTTCCACAGAAACAGATAATCCAGGAATAGTCTTTCATTACCAATTTATAATTTTTGCTGATCATTTGCTGTTATCAAGTACTACAAAAAGAATTATTGGAAAGAGACAGAGACATGCAAAAATATTTATGACACTAAGTGATCATACTCCCCATCGTTAACATTATCTGCAAGAAAAGCTATCTCAGAGTGTCTCTTCTTGCACTGTGGACTCGTAAAATACTGAATATTCTCCCTTTATCTGCTACTCTAAACAGTCTCAGGTGACAGCACACCACATGCCCCATATCTTAAACTTGGCTCTTCATTTTAGAAGGTCAACCAACTACTTTACCTGACTTAATGTTTTTTGTCCATTATATATTTTTTCTTTGATAAATGAGAGTGTAATGACTGATTTACAAGCAAAAAGACCTTCCCTCTTAGAATCTTTCAAAGAAAAGGCTGAGAACATTTTATAGGCAGTAACTTCAATTCTCTTCCTCTCTTTTCCAGAAAAAAAAAAAAAAAAGAAAACCTAGCATGCAGTGTGACACAGTATTTTCATGAGTGAATGAATTACACAGGCAGAAAGAATGAAGTAAATCATTCAGTTTGGGTAGAAGGAAGGGGAAGAAGCATACACGAGGGCAGTCTCCTCTGGAAAATTTACACTGAAACTGAGGTAAAAGACAAACATTTTCTCAGACTCCCCAGTGGAGAGTTTTTTTTTTTTTTTTGGTCCAGCTCAAGGCGTCTCTTCAACATGAATGTCCACCCAGCTTCCTTAAACTGCAGCACCTACGGCAGCCAATGTCTCAGTCTTTGCATCTGAGGTCCAAAACTCCAACTTCACACATTGAAATACAAAAGCAGGGGCTACGTGGTGAACAGTAGTAAAAATTATGTTGTCACAGAATCTGAGATAACACAGATTAAAGTCGTAGGCCAAAGACAATGTAGGACAGGAAGAAGTCATGTCAGAAAACCATGTCAGATATTTGACTTTTGTGTTGAAACAGAAAGGTTTGGCCATGGAGTTACTATTTGATTTTTTTAAAAATCCCACTCTTTGATAGAAATCTTTCTTGAACGGCTAAGTGAACAAATGTGAGGACACTTCTGAGAAAGCCAACTGAAAGTTTCCTGGGCTGTGAGCATTGCTTGCTTTGTTTAACTTGACTGTAAGAAAGACATTATGAGACTACCTAGCTCAGGATCTGTAGTTCAAGCCTCCCAAAAGCTGTCTTGATGAATATTCAATTGACATATTCGGGCATTTATGATCATTTCATGGACTGCACATGTAAACGCGCATCATGGTTGCGCAGTCAGTGCAGACCCAGGCCCCGGAGCAAAGGGCTGGGACGTGTAGCAGTCTGTTACATAATTTTCCAGCAAATCACAGTTAGTCCTGTGATTAATGCTACATGACGGGCTTTGAACTTTCTGTTGAGACAGGTTCACTTGCCTTTAAGAGCTTCTAGCAAGAAGCAATGTGTGACCTGCAGATTTCACTCTGAATAACCATCATCCCAGCCTATGACACTGGCACTGCCCTGCTGCCCTGTGAATAACCCTTTCTGTGCCTCATTCCTCTGCCAGAAACAGTGTCACAGGTCTGGCAGCCTGATTTGTTTTCATGGACACCAGAGAGGCATATAACTTTCTGCAGCCCAGTTGCTGAGAAAGCTACGCAAAGACGACTCCTGGGTTCTTCTGGGGGAAATCAGAAGCGACCTCGGGGACTGACTAGAACAGAGACTTTGTAGCAAAAAAGGGAGGTCTTGGTACAGCAGCATGTTCAGCAGCCTTGCAGAGAAGGACCATGGCTGCCTGTGTCCCCTCCTGGGTGAGAAGCTGTTCCAGGGCTGATCAACTTTCCAGCCTGGACTGAGACCTTCCAGCCACTCTCAGCTCAGCCTGGTCCTGTGTCCCAGCCCTGCGCCCGCGAGCGTCTGCCCAAAGCTGCTGCGCCCCGGGCAGCTCCCCAGCACCTGCCCGCCTCCCGGAGAGGCGTCTCTGGGCAGCCCCTGCGCGGTCCACCGCACGCCAGCTTCCGAGCGCGGCCCCCAGCTTCCCCTCTCCCCGAAATGGCCCCTTGGAAAGGTGGAAGGAAATAAAGCGAACTGAATCTCAGAACCGAGCACAGAGCACCCTCCGACGCCCCCAGTTCCCTCCCGCATGGCCGCTACTCACCAGCTCCAGGGCGCGCAGGAAGGCGAGCGGCTCCTTGAGCGCCCGGAAGGTGCCCGCTGAGGCCAGCTGTGGAAGCAGAAGATCGGAGAGAGAAAACAGAAGCGTGAGGAAAGGGCCGGGGCGCCTCTCCGGAGTCGCGGGGACCCCACCACACCGTGCCACCCCGGGGCCGACCGCCCAGCTCGGGTCCCTACCTGACTCACGGGGTCCATCGCTCGCCCGCGCGCGCCTTCTCGGCCGAAGGTGCCTGGAGATTGGGGTGCGGCCGCACCGCGGCGCGGGGCAGCCCCTGGCCGGGAGCGGCGGGCGGGCAGGCTCTGGGGAGCGGGGTGCCCTGAGCCGCGCAGAGGCTCCGTGAGCTCTGTGCTCCCGCGCGCCCGCCAGGCGCGAAGCCGGAGGGGCGGGGAGGGAGGAGCCGGGAGCCGGGGAGGGGACGGGCAGCCCCGGAGCCGGCTGGAGACAGGGTCCCCGGCAGGCTGTCATTGGCCAGAGCCGAGCGAGGCGGTGGGCGAGGCCCGCATCGGACCTGCGAGGGCCGCGCGCTCCCGCGGCCTCGGCGCTAGGAAACTTCGGGGCTTTTGCTCCGGGGAGACGGCTGGCACCGTTAGCACGACGGCGGTTTCGGCTCTCGGAAGAGGCTTTTCTGTCTTCCCTGGGCTGTGTGTGTGACCCTTGGGGACTCTGAATGCCAAAAATCTATGCATGCCTATCATCCGGTCCCCTCAGCTGGGCGGTCCTCCAGGTGGCCAGGCGGTGCTGGACGCTGGGTACCATCAGAGGAAACTTCCTGGACGGCACCGTGGTACGAAGTGTCTTCTCCAGGGAAACAGCCGGACGATGTGGGAAGCCCTGCTAGGGGATGGGCAGAAACTCCACGGGTCGCACAGGCAATCCTCACCACCATGGGGAAGACCAGGAAGAAAATGGTATGCCCATTTTAAAGGAAAAAAAAGATAAATGAGGCTGGAGTTAGCCCAGGGAAAACAGCTCGGGAAGACACAGGCGTTGAAATTCAAGATCCTTTCTAACTCATAACTGTCTCCACTGAGATCCTGTGCCTAAGATCTGATCCCCACAGGAAGCACCCCAGCCCCCAATTAATCACAAATAGGACTCTGAGATTCCCCTCCAGAAACCCTCAGACTCTTCTCCCAACTTACTAAAAGGAGGTTGGTACATACTTCTCTCCCCCTTAGTGGATTTACTTTGCCAAACATGATTAATAAATGAATAAATAAGCAAAGACGATAAACAAGCAAACAAAACTTAGTTCTTTCTATGAGCCAGAACTAAGGGCTTTATAAATATAATTTCATAGATAGTCCCCAAACACATACTGGTTAGGGGCATTATTATCCCCATTTTTCAAATGAAGAAGCCAAGGCTTATTGAAGGGAAGTGGCCTGCTCATGGTTGTACTGGTCATACAAATGTTTCAGTGAAGATAAACTTGAAACAAAACAAAGAATCAGAAAAAGAAGAGGTGGGAGGAGAAGGAGAAAAGAAGAGAAAGAGAAATCCTCTTATCTGCTACCCCCAGCAGCTAATGTGTCCCCTTTCCACTGTCTTTGGACTGGATGCTGTGGGTGAGTTTGGTCTCCCAGCAACACAGTCCGACCATCTGTTTACTACAGAGATTTGCCAAAAAGGTTTGCAGTGTGTGCTATGTGCGTCTGTGTGTGTGCGCGCGCGTGCGTGTACAAACACATGGATGGAGGAGGATAGTTTTTGATATCTGGAAAGCAAGGAATGTGGAAAGGAATAGTGTGGAGTCTGGGAGGGGAGGCAGGAGGCCAAAATTGTGTACGAAAATGAGCCTTCAGTGTATTTGCTCCCTGCCCATGAGTTTAGTTAGAAAAAAATCTAGAAATGTAGTTAGTAGGACTCCAGCAGACCAGTTGCACCATCTGCACCAAAGGCTTGCTCCTACTGTTCTCCCTACATGCAAATAGACTCTAAAACAATTGTACTTATTTTGAAAATAAGCCATTATGCAACTACAAAGTGGGTTAGAGGACTAACATAGGCAAGTATTTCCTGAATGCCCTACAGGTTATGTTTATGATTTTATGGACAAAGTTACTTAAGCACAGAGCCTATAACAAGCTTTGTTGATTAAATCTGTAAAATAGAACCAACAATATTAAGAAGGGACCAATGAGATCTAGCAGATAGAATATGTAAGGCAAAGTCCGCTACTCCTTAATCTTTTAGAATGTATAATGTATTAGTTCCACACCTCAGCCACTCCCTGACTCCAGCTGCAAAGATAGAAACTTGGAGGGCTTCATCACAGACATGGTGATGAGAGCCCTGCTCTGTCCCTTTTAGTGACCCTTTCTCTTATATGTATCCCTGTCCTATGGGACCTCAGAATAGCCATGGGACTCTCATAGGCATTGTGTGCATTTCTAGGGAGAAGCTTTGCCAACCAGCATAGAATTTTCCATTTCATTTATTTCCTTCTGTAATGAACATAATTTTTGCATAGAGGCTACTCTGACTACTTGGATCGTGGTACAAGGATAATGCAGCACAGAGCTGCAACTGGACCTTGCAAGGAGTTAAGCAAAATACACATTTGGGGAGTATAAACAACTAAGATCACTGACTCTTTTTTCCTACTGTACAGTATAACCTAAGCTGATTGATAACCATTTTTGAAGCAAAGTAGCAGAAACGAAATTCGACCCTAAGTCTGAATGACCTCTTGTCCTTGCGTTCTAAGACTCTGTTCTTTTCTCTTTGCATCACATCCAACTAGCATTCAAGGTTTAACATCTCCTGCATATGTTTAATCATGTTAGTTATTTTAATAGATAATATCAATTGAGTTCTTGCTTCATGCCAAGTATTGCAATAAATGCTTTCCTTAGTTTAAGTGTCATCATAATTTCCCTTGGATGAATGTCATAACCAGACCTAGAAAGGCTAAGTAACTTGCGTGAGGCCATTTGCATATCTTTAGTGAGGCATAGAGATTTCCAAAAAGTACCACCTCCTTATTTACCACAGAGTTGAGAATTTAACACAGATGAAGTGTGAGAGTTGAGCCCATTTCCCCAGGTCTCCTTTCACATCCAACATTCCTCCTTGATGTGGTGGCCTATTTTTCCAGTTCCCCAAATGCCATTTAAAGGAAGCCAAAATTGTGACAAATGGCAATAGAATGGCTTAGACAACAATTGCATATTGTCAGAAAATGTTTTTCACATTCCAGAACTGTATGATCTTCCAGCAGCTGCATCACCAAAATAACACAGAGTTCCATATCACATTTGCAATGGTAAATATTTTGTAGAGCTTGGGGTTAGAACCTCTGTATTCAGACATGGAAGTAACATTTTCCAAAGAGCTACGTTGGGAAGAGGAGGAAAGAGGACATCACTATTGCTGCAGTACTATTCTTGGTGACTGAATAGAAGAACTCCTTGTCTTTTGCCCCATTGAGATGAAAGATGCTTTCTCTGGTATTAGAGCAGATGTATTGCAATGCTTCAGTGGTGGTCATAGCTTTAGTGGGGTGTACATGATCCATTTAAGTGGTCTACATTGATTCTGTGCATCAAGTTATTTCCCAATTTCTTTTTTGTTTTGGGCCAAGGACTCACAGCTATGGAGACTTTCTTGGACTAGCTGCTGCAGTGTATCTCATCCTCCTTATATGGTGATCTGAGCCATTCAGGGGGCACTTCACGATGTTTGGAGGTATTTTTGATGGTCACAACTGAGTGTGGGAAAAGACTAGAGACATTTCTCAACATCTTCCAATACAGAAGATAGCTGCTGACCAAGGAATGACTTGGTTATAGGCAGTTGAGTTGTAGAGAATTATTATAGGCAGTGAGACAGGGTTGGGCCCTCAAAGGAACCAGTGCAAAGGACCAGATACCTTATAACTGTGAGGGACACAGACACCTCTGCTATGGGCTAGACCTCAAGACAAAAGACAAAAGAAATGCACTCACATACTTTCTAAGAATAAACACCAGGGATTGTTATTCTAAGTAGGTCTCTATCACCCTGAGGAAGCCCGGAGTCACCAGCTCAACCCCCTACTGGAAGGGTCACTGCTGTATATGCATGCCCACTTGCTACATGATTTGCTTCCCTTTTTGTCCCCGATATAATTAGTTTTACCTGAGCAATTACTCTTATTGGCTGACAAAGTTCTGTCCCACCTCATGCCCACCTTGAGTGTTCCCATTTTTTCCCTACCTTGAACCTACCTGCCTCACCTTGGGTTTCTGCTTTATAAAATCCTTAGAAAAGACGGGTCTTCAGCAACCCACTAGGGACCCCTTCTGTCTCTTTCTCTCTCTCAGGCAGAACTTTCTTTCTCTCAATGAATATATTCTACTCTTAGCCTTTGTTGTTCCTAAAATTCATTCTTCAGTTGTAGAGAACATGAACTTATACTGGACATCCAGCAGGTTAGGGGTTTCTTTCCCCCTGTGTCAGTATGGACGACATCACTAGTCTACTGTGGCCTACTTAAGTAATAAGGACCAAGCTGGCGTCACACACAAGTACAGTACTGTCCTAGGTACTGTAAGCAGTTTGCTGAGATTCTTCCTTTCACAAAGCTCACTTTGTGGTGGGAAGTACTTTAAGTTCAATTTTTCAAAGCTTTCTATTTATTAAGTAAGCACATAAACAAAACTCCAACAGAGTCATTTTTAATCCAAAAGAGGGTTAATCAAAACCACAAAAACCAAACCATCATGCTGCAGTACGACTTGCATTATTCAGACGAATTAAATCTTGTTCTCAGGAAAAATATATCTGAGTTTCATCTTCCTGTCTTTTATGAGAAAGAGGGAAAAGTAATTTAAAATTTTATCTTCAGCAATTTAATGTAGGAGGAAACATTACACATATGTGATAACATCTAAACTATTGGAAGTAAGTAATGAGTGGAAGTCTATCTAGATATTACATACCCTTCTCTCTGCACAAGCTGCTAACCTAAACTTTCCAGTTCTTTTGCAGAGGCCAGTAACACCTCTCTCTATTCATTTGTATGTCTGGTGGGCATAAAGTTATTGATACACAGGCAGGAGATGGTAGAGAAATAGTTCCCCAAACTCCTAAAATTAAGTAAAGCCACCTTTACTTTCTTTTGTTTGCAGCTTAGATAGATACAATAAAACTTGTAAGAATATATTTAAAATTTCATCATGAAATAAGATTCTATTATCATCTTATTGGAATTCCCAGGATTTTCATAGGATCGTTCTTAATTAACAATCATAACTGATAAAAATTCATATGTGGATAGCAATGTAAATTTGCATCATAAAATGCTTTTCACATACTTCCATGTTTTAAACAAAAGCAATCTGTGTAAATTTGGACAGGCTTGTGTGCATGCAAATTAAAGGATCAAAACTAACATTAAACTATTCACCATTGACCCTAGGGAATGATACTGGGAATTGTAAGCATGATACTGATTTTTGTAATGCATTAAGAATTAAGAAGAAGCTGGACAGAATGCGAAGTACCTTATAAGCATAACTGGTTTAATTTCCTTCCTCATCAATCTTACAGGTGTATATTGTTACCTCCCATTCATTATTCAGGCAAGAAAACACAAGTTCAAAGAAACTAAAA